CACCAGGCACCCCAAGACCTGCCACCACCTGCCAGCTCCCTGACAGGCTCAACCACTGAGTCTCAGGTGGTATGTGAGCTGAGTGAGGCAGGTCTCAGGGAGTCACCCCTGTGGGACAAGTGGTGTTCACCAGGTTAATGCAGATTCAGATTCGGATGTGATGGAGGAGGGCTCAACACAGGAAAGATGGCACCCATTGGCCATGCCAACACAGGGACAAGGGCAGTCATCCCTCCAACCCTTGCCCTGAAGCCACATAATTCAGTTTCTCCCTATATATCCCTGACACCATCCCAGCTTGACCAGGATTCCTCAGGAGTTTTTTAAGAAAGACTGCAAGAGGGCCCAGCCTGGCTGGCACCGAAAGAGTCTCAAGTCTCAAACAAAGTGTGATTTGGCTGGGGCAGGGTCTCAGGGAGTTGTCAGGATGGAGCTAGTGAAGTTCGCTGGGCTAATTGCATCCCTTTTTAAATGTTTGCTATATTTACTTAAATGAGATCATGTTTATGAAAACTCTTTGGAAACCATAAAATCCTACGTAAATATTCTTTAATAAAAATCTATGGGGGGTTTGTCCTTAATTTTTAAAGGGATCAACTTAGACTTATCGACAAAATAAAACACAACAAAACAAAAACCTAAATTGCTTTTCATTTGTAAATGGCTCTTGATTGATTTTTATCCCCTGGGGAGCCATAGCCTCCAACATTAGAAGGGAGATTTCAAAAGACCTTCACATCTGAATGGGTGATCTATTCCCTTCCCTAGAAATGATCTCTGTCCTTGGAGATGCAAAACAAATAGGGAATAAAAGGCCAGCACAGCCACACCCTGCTAATAAAGTGGTACAGAAATATTTGGAGTCGATGGGATCACTTTAAGACACAGTAAATTTTGATAAATTCAAACCCCAACAACTCCACACTTGAGAACATTTAAATGTGGCATGGGTTAAACTCTAGATCATCTACTAAAAAAAGAGAGAGTTTAACAAGCAAATCAATTGTGCAAATATTTAAGAAAGGGTCATCTTTTCAAGAAGTCTTAGCATCATTTTAGTAATACCCAGCTTTCTAACCTCCATTACCCATTAAAGCAGAATCTGCTAGATTCCTTCTGAGAATGTTTAAGAATACTATTATGGTACTTAAAAGGTAATCAGAAAATTCACATTTATTGAATGCTCACTCTGAGCTAGGAACTGTGTTAAGCACATTATATACCTCAAATAACTCTTAAGGAGGGCTTGATCGCTCCCATTTTACAGATGAGGGCGCTGAGGGTCAAGGGGTTTGCCCAAAGTCACCCAGCGATGGGTGAAATCAAAGGGATAACTCGGTGATAAAGCCAGATTCTGAAAGTAGGTCTCATATACACTGGCACCCTAATTACATTTGTCAGGGTTTCATCTGTAACACTTTTTTGTTAATGCAGCTGAGCTGCTCTCAAATTATTCCATATTAGTGAAGGTTGTTCTATCACAATAAAAAGACGACTTTTATACAGCCCCACTCCGGCCAACCTCCGCCTCCTGTTTCAATAGGTTCGAGGATGAAAGAAATTTCTGTCTCTGATTTTATCAATGCACTGACGACTTTTGGGAGTCCTACACTATCATGCCTTGGCTAACAGTAACTAATATTTTACAGTGCTTGCTCTTCAATTTGCAAAGTTTTCCCCACATATGTCATCCCACTGAACCTCTGGGTTTCTCGCAGATTCTGATAAAAACCAGCAACAGATGGCGGTGACGATGCTGAGCTTGTATCGAACATGGACTAAATGGTTTGACTTAAGGGTATGCTCCACTCCTGTATTTTACTTTGCCCTAAATTCATTTTTGTTTCCTATTCCCTCTACATTTCCCGGTTCCAAACAGGATATTCTGATAGCATTTCCCACCAAACCAGAAACAGGAAGCACCTGAAAAGTCATGAGAAAAAGGCCCTTGTGCCAAACCAAAGACCAATTTTTTAAGAATTCAAAAGTCTGAGACATTTGGACGGGTGCCCACACACTTAGAGGCTTTCCGTAATTAAACCAACCTTGTTACGCTCTGAAGAGAGCACAGCGAGCCCTCACGGGGCCTGCAATGAGGCCACAATTACAGAACAATGTGTGGTCTTCCTGGGTACTGTCACCTGAGTTTCCTCATGATCCTCCCACCCTCCCGCCCCCGCCCCAAGAAGTAAATGCAATGGAGCCATCACAGCGTCCAGTCCCACCGAGGGTCCAGCCACAGGCCTGTGGCCGTGGAGACAGAAGCAGCGAAGAGCAGGTCTGAACAAGCATCCCACCCCTCCTGTGGTCTCTCTGCTATTCCCCAGGGAGTGAAACCCCTCCCCCTGGCCTGCACCCTCCCCGCCCCCCGCCGCCATGCCCACCTGTGGACTCCCACCATTCTTCTTCTATGGGCCCCACCAGGCCGCAGACTCTACACAGGTCTCAGTTTTTCCAGTCGTAAAATAAAATAATTCTGCCCAAGTGCCAACTCGAACTTGGATGCAGCACGGGCCCTTGGGGAGAGGTACCGGGCACAGGATGCTCCACCCCACACACAGCTCTCTCACTTTTGAAACACTGTGTTCCCTCTCTTGTTCTCCCCTGTAGATGGGAAACTTCTTACTATCCGAGACTTGGGTTTTATCTATCAGGCACTGAGCACAGTATCTAACTTAATAAGCTTATGTGGACTCTATTCCTAATAGACAAAGTAGTCACCTCATGGTGATTTAACAAACACTTGCTTGGTATAAAAAAACATTAGCCCATAATCTATAATAACAAAAGCGTCATATGCTAATTAGACCTGACGACCTTCTGGATGAAGCCAGGGTCCCGGGTGCCAGAGGGAAGCTGGTGCCAGCAGCCGGGGGAAAGAAGGCCTACTCTTGCACGAATTTCGTGCATCTGGCCTCTAGTATGGTGTATTAGCATACGAATACTTAGCATGTAGTACATCAGCACATACATGCCAGGCAGTGTTCTAAGAACGGACAAATATTAACTCAATCCTCATCACAGCCCTTTGAGGGGGGGCTACGCGCAAAGACGTTAAATAACTCAACTGAAGTCACACCATTAACACGTGCCATTGAACTCTGGCAGCCAGGTCCGAGTCTGCGCTCTTGGCCACCAGGCTACTCTCCATTGTGTGGCATCTGAATAACAGAATGGAAAGAAAAACTTGGCCTTGAGGAAGCCACACCACATCTCTAGACCTCAACAAAGACGGGCTGGCCTAGGTGATATTTGAAGGGTCACGTCAAACCCTACCCTACTTCCGTTGTTCTTAATCATGATGCGATCCCCGCCCAGCGAGTAGAGAGCCTGTGTCACCGAATTTTTCCACATTAAGAGGAAATAATGGTTGCCTTCAGAGCCAATGTAGGTTTAGTGTAGACCACAACACAGGGAGGAAGATCCCCAAAACCAACAGAGCACAGGCAAGAGCCCTAACTGAGGTCTGCGTGCCCCACCCTGCCGTTCTAGTCTTCTAGAGAAATCTGAGCCCCTGCCACCCCCGGCCTCTTATGGACCAAGAACCACAGAAAAGTTCTGTTCAATCCCCTGTTGTTCTAAAAGGCTGGGCTTCTACCTCAACACTCCGCACCCCAACCCCACCCTCTTACTGCTCCCGGTCCTCCTTCCCCCTGGACACACACACACACACACACACACACAGACACGCTTCCATGTCCTAACTCATTCTTTGATCCCGGAGGAATACACTGGGCAGGAAGAATACAGCTTTGACCCGTAATTTATGTATTTTTACTACCTATCCCTCCCTCTTGACTGATTACAGTATCATCTATATTTCAGATGAAGTTTTTCTTCGATGGGGGCAATACAGCGATAAGCAGGGTCAGAGGTCAACGTCCCTGCGTGGCCCCGCCAGCTGAGCAAATGCTGACATTGGGGAGAAGGCTCGTCCTCAGGGAAGGAGAGAGCCTGTGGCCCCTGCAGGGGCCCTGCCAGCTGCTCTGCGGGTGTCACCGAACACCCTGCTCAGGCCATCTGAGTCCCTGTCAGGGCCTGGAGGGTCCTCCCTGAGGCAGGAAAGTGCAGGTGTCCAGCCAGCATTTCTCAGCAACCTCTTTGGTGGCCACAGAATTTGAACCCTGGGAAAACCCAGGGAGGCCCAAAGGAATGAGGACACAAGTGAGTTGAGACTTCTGTCCAAACAAACAAATCAGGGGGCGAATTAAAATACAACAGCCAGCCTTAGAGGGGAAACAGGGTCTAACTCACTCAGAATCGGGCTCAGAAAACGTGAGTGTGCAAGCTACACAACAGGAGAAAATGACAGCCTTTTCTGGATCCCTAAAGCCAAGTTCAACTCAACTAAAGAATAACTGGCTCAATGGGTCCCCCGGGGGCCCAGCAGCCCCTGGGGAGCAGCTCTAACACGGGGCTGAGGGCGCACCCAATTCTCAGGCCTCCGACAGGGTGCACGGACCAGACAAGAGGGAAGTCAGACTTCTGATGTTATGAAACTGAATCCTGGGAAATCTCTGTCCCCTGCCTCTGGGCATTTGTCCAGGAGTGTGGCCAGGAGGACGTCAGGAGCCTCACGTCCATCTGGGAGCTCCACGGAACTGTGGAGACTCTCTGAGCCAACCTCTGAATTTTCAGGTGAGGAAACGGAGGCCCAGAGACAGAAAGCAAGTTCCCCAAGGTCACACAGCATCTGGCAGGACCAGGAAACCAAGAGTTCTATCCGGCGCCTTGGCTGGGACGGGGTGAATTTTAATCTCAGAGTCTTCATGAAGCATGGCAAGCACCGGGGGCTCTGGGGCAAAGATGGGTAAGGCTGGGCAGGGCCAGAACCGTGACCCCCTTCCCACCCTCCTCATTACCTGGGCAGGACCAAGAGGCCACCTGGGGACACGGTGCTGCCCTCCTGTTAGAGATTGGAAAGCTGGGGGAAGTGCTGGGTGGGGGGTTGTTTAGGGTCCCGTATGGGTAGAGGGCGCGGGAGAACCGAGAGCACTCACCTTCATAGCAAGGGATCAGCGTCCTGCCTTTGGCCTGGAGGTTGGACGGGATGATATAACAGAAGCCGTGGGGCAGGATGTGGTCTGTTTCGTAGAAGATGTTCTTCCAGCGGTGGGCACAGGCCTAAAGGACAGAGAGGGGTTCAGAGCAGGGAAGGGACTCCCCGGAGCCTGGTAGTCCGTCAGATCGCTCAGGAAACACCGCTGCCCGCCAGCCTCTCCACGCTTCATCCCTTCAGGCCGCCTGCCCGCGGGACCCCCGACAAGGCCACTCTCTGCCCAAAGGCAAAGAGGACACACTCAGGGGGACTGGACACCCGAGTTCAGCCACACAGGCCTCTTGCCTTATGACATCAAGACGATCTCGTTATTCCTTGTACCACAAGCCACCCTCATCCTCCCCACATGGAACCGTTTCGTACCCATAGCCCATTTCTCAATAGCCTGAAACGATACGGGGCAAGGAGCTATAAACGTGTATCGCTAAGCACATCATCACTCTATTCCACTTGGTAATTGATTTCTTTTGTATTTTAGTTCTGATTCAATGCTGATGGCTTGCAAACTTGAATCCCTCATCATCTTCGAAATTACCCAGTAAATCCACTACATTTTAGTTTATGGATTGTGTAGAGCCGTTGGCAGCGAGGGCTTGGCCTGTCTCACTGTGTTTCTGGGTCGGAGGGACCGCGGAGAGAGGCGGATGTTTACCGAGGAGCACGCTGGCTCTCACCAGGAGGGACTTGCTGCCCTAAGTGTCTAGTTTATTGCCCCCTCGTGTTTTTTTAAGAACCGTAAACTGTTTACGGAGGGATCTTAGAAAATTCCTCGAAGATCCAAACACTGCATTTCCCAGTAAACTGAACAAAAATTAAGGCATTCTGTGAGGTCAGACAGCCAAGGGTCATAGGCAGTACGCGTGCAGGAAAAGTGTCTCCGAATATAAATTATAAAAAGAAAAGACTGTTTAGCCCCGATTATCATTATATATACACACATGTCAGTCTGACCCCAACATTTGAAAAAAGTCCTAGACTGTCTCCAAAGCATTAAGAACTCCATCAATCTCTCCAAACGGGCTCCGCTGTGAGGAAGGCGGGGGCAGAGGGAGGGAACAGGAAAGAACATTCTCTGCAAACAGCAGACCCATTCGGACCCACGTAATCCTAGCAAAGGGGAGGAGGGGCTGGCATCCCGTCTGACGATCTGACACATTTCAAATACAAAGATTGTCTTTCCTCCCAAAAGAATAAAAGGAAGAAGATGAGCATTTTAATTGAAAGGCCTTTTTTAACAGTGCAACCTTGCCGGGTGGGGGGAGTGTTGGGGAATGGGGGAGTTACTGAGCTTCTACGGGTGGCTCAGCCACAAAGTCACCTAAGCCCCCACCTCTTGCATGTGCATTTGTGATACACACACAGACGGCCAGATTTTGGCCAGGCCCTCAGGTCTACCCCTGGATCGCTGAGAACCATGGCTGAGGGGAACAGGGCCATGATGCCATAGACCCCCCCCACACACAAAGACATCCCCCAACCCCCTCCAGGGGAAGAAGGAGTGGCCTCGGGGACACGGGGAAGGGGCCTCTGGGATGCGGGGCAAGTCCTTCTGAGAATGCCACCAAGTGAAAATGCATCAAGGTGTGCACGGATTATCGGTGCACTTTCCTGCACGTGTGTTAGAGCTCAATAGGAGAAGTCCACGTAAAAAAATCAGGAAACGGAACAACAGAATTAAAAGAAAAAAATAGCCACCCTGTGGCTTTGGGGGGAAAAAGAAAGACAGATGACACATGTGAACAGACAGGGGCTGCCCTGACGTTTGGGAAGGAAACGGCAAAGAGATAGAGCCGGAGAGCGTGCTTCCACCCAGAAGCCATCTACACACTTCTGGTGTGTTGTCTGAGCCCCGAAACCATGGGAAGCAGACGCCAGCCGGGCACTCTCTGAGCTGCCCCCCAGGCCCAGGAGGAGCGTCGGTGCCTGAGCTGCATGTGTTGGCAGCTGTGGCAGAAGAGGATTTCCTTCCCTAGGTCTCAAACCGCCACCTGCACCCTGAGTGCAAGCTGAGGGTGTGGGGCGGGAAGGGGCTTGCCTCTGATCCGAAGGCTGTGGTCACACCCGGTACCGCGAGTCCCTGGGAAAAAACTGGCAAGGACCACAACACCTGTGAGCTGAGCCTGGCAGATACTAAGCCAAGGGCAGCCCGGCAGCCCAGCCCAACATCCAAGGCCTTGCCAGGGCTGGCCCATGGGTCAGAAAATGCCACTTTTCATGGAGACACTGGCCTCTCTGTCACAGCTTCCAAACTCCCCATCTGTTCTTTACTTTGAAATCAGCACTGATGCCATTACACACACACACACACACACACACACTTCAGCTCTACCTCCTCAAATCCAACCTCAGAATCCGATATTGTGCTCCTTGACATGGGTGTCAGGCCCACACCCCCAAGTACCACCTGAGTTCTCCAAACGTGTTTGAATAAGACATAGCTCCCTGATTGCCATTTTAAGATAAATACTTGCCTCCAAGAAAGCTTTGGCAGGTAGACTTGAGACATTAAAGAACAGGCATCGACGTGAGAGAGACATGGCTTGGTTGCCTCCCGCACGGACCCCAACCGGGGCCAGCAATCAAGCCTGCAACAGAGGTACGTGCCCTTGACAGGAATCAAACCCAGGAGCCTTCAGTCCCCAGGGCTGATGCTCCATCCACCGAGCCAAACTGGCTAGAGCTTGTGTTTCTGACAGGAAAAGCCACAAGGAAAAGGCTGCTATGGATGCCCCGCTCCTTCCTCAGCAGCCGCGTGCAGTGGCTTACTGGATAGGTGGCGCGGTCATTGTGTCAAACATGAGAGGAACAGCTCCACATGCGATGAATCAGAGGGACTGTCATGGCACAGGGACCACAAATGCCCCAAGTCTGCCTTCACAGCTTCCTGTGCTAAATCGTCCCCGTGATCCTCACTGCTGTGCACGGCCCCTTCCCGATACTGACTTGCCGTAACGCACATGCCTCTGGCAACAAGCTCTCAGCCCCACGGAGCGTATCCTTCCGTGGGGAGAGGGGATGCCGTCACAGGAGCGACCTCCGGCGGTGGGCTCCGGGCTCCCTAGAGCGTCGTGTGCCGTGTGCCATCCGGCCATGCCTCCTCTGTCAGAATCTCGACCTCCGGCCACCCGGACTTCAGATGGGTCAGCTTCTCCCTCCTTCCCATGGGAAGGCGACAAGCTTTCTGGCCCTCCTGGGGCCCAGTGGTCCAGCCAGGGTCAGGCCACTGGGGCTGGAGGAATGTAGAGGCTGGGAGAGGGTCCAAGGCGGCTTATGACAGTGATTAAAGGACGAGAAACCAAGACAAACAGCGGGGTTGGGGACCCTCCGCAGGAGCTACGATGCTTTCTGGTGGGGAGGCCGTGTGATGCTGGCGACAGCATCCAGCTGCTCCCCGCTCCCCACCAGGGGCTGGTGGGGGGGAGGGGGGTGGCGGGGGGGGGGGGGGGAGATGCGTAACTTGTGCTGAGAAGGAAGGGGGATGCAGATGAATGGCCTCTGCCATGGAGAAGTTTAACACACAAGTGGGCTCCAGCAGAGAGGACGGAAACATTTTGCCTAGATCCTGAAGGAGAACCTGGTTCCCCTGCGATCAGATATACGTAAAACCCCATTTACAGCTTGTGGCCCAAAGGGAACCCTCAATAAATGGCAGCTAGAGTTATTTTCCCCTCTTGATATTATGTTTCTATAACAAAGAGCATTGGCCATGGCCAGGTAGCACAGTTGGTTAGAGCATCCTCCCAACATTCCAAGGTTGCAGGTTCGATCCCCGGTCAGGGCACATATAAGAATCAACCAAAGAATGAATAATTAAGTGGAACAACCAATCAATGTCTCTCTCTCTCTCTCTCTCTCAAATCAATAAAATAAAAATTTTAAAAGTAATAACATGTATTTCATCCTATATAATAAAAGGGCAATATGCAAATTGTCCCCTCAACTGGGAGTTGGACAAGAGTTCAACCAGGGGACGGGGCCAGACCACCAACCATCCGGTGCCCCTCCCCCTGGCCGCACCCCCCCCCCGCCCCCTGCCAATCGGGGGCGGGGCCAGGCCACCAACTTCCTGTATCCCCTTCCCCCAGCCGGACTGGCCCGATCGGCCCAGATTGGGGTGGGCTGGCCGGACCCCACCTGTGCCCAAATTTGTGCACCAGGCCTCTACTATAAATATAATACCATGCAGGAATAAAGAAGAATGAACACCTGATACACAGAATACGGATTAATCTCAGAAGTATTATTTTGAGTGAAAGGGGCCTAACACAAAAGAGTGCACACTGTGGGATTCCATTGGTACAAAGTTGTAGAAAAAGCAAAAGTAACCCACGGTACCAACCATACATCACAGTGGCTGCCTCGGGCGGGCGGGAAGCTGACTAGAAGGGAACAGGAGAGAACTCTTCGGAAGGACAGAAACAGTGTGTATTGTGCTGCGGGGAGTTGGGGGGGGGGGTGTTACACGAGTGTGCACGATTGTCAAAACCCAAACTGCAATCTTAAGATCTGTGCATTTTATGTAAATTAACTTCAACTTAAAAAGACTCGCACAAATATTTGTGAACAAGATTTACAAAGTACTTTTCCCATACATTTTATTTATGTTTCCACTGCCACCTCTCTGCACCCTGGACAGACATTATTTATCTGACAGATGGAGATCAGTCATTTGTCCAAACAGCAGTCCAGTTTAGGCAACCTCAGAGCCAAGCCCTTGTCACCATGCCACCCAGCTTTCCTAAGAGATCAAAGTCACTCACGCTCAGAGTGCCAGCCCTCCCTGCAGCACTCCCCACTCACCCCCACCCCGCCCGGGAAGCCTTACCAGAACTCGGCCATCGGCCCTGGGCTGCCGGGCCAGGCTCACCCCCATCCACTCATCATCCCGGTCTTCCCGGCAGGTCTTTCCGCAGGATGTTCCTCGATGGTTCCCTGGAGGGAGAAGAGAAAACCGAGTCCTGGGTGAGGGAAGGATGGTCTGCTGGCTGCTCTTCCAAGGGTAGTCTGCCCCACTCCCCCAAATGTCTGTAACCAGCTCAGGAGGAAATAAGGACGCACACGAAGTGTAAAATCAACTCCACCACTATGCACGCTGTGTGATTCAGCCAATGTTGTTCTCATAGCAAGACGTTCTTGATGGAGACGGTGCTCTGGCCTGTGTTCTGAAGCAAGCTCCTTAGTGTGTTAGGCACCAGTAACGAGCAGCAGGCCAACCAGACATTGTGAGTGGCACCAAGGACACCTCTCCTTTCTGCTAAGGAGAATCATGGCAACGCTTCATTTAGAAATACTAACCCTCAGAAGCTCTGGATGGGAAAGGACTTTGGAGAAAGTGAGGACTTGGAGTTATAATAAAACTAGAGGCCTGGTGCATGAAATTTGTGCATTGGCGGGGGTGGGGGTGGTCCCTCAGCCTAGCCTGCACCCTCTCCAATCTGGAACCCCTTGGGGGATGTCTGTCTCGCAATCTGGAACCGCTGGCTCCTAACCGCTTGCCTGCCTGCCTGATCACCCCTAACCACTCTACCTGCTGGCCTGATCCCCTAACTGCTCCCCTGCAGGCCTGGTCACCCCCAACTGCTCCCCTGCCGGCCTGATCGCCCCTAACTGCCTCTGCCTTGGCCCCCGCCACCATAGCTTTGTCCGGAAGGATGTCCAGAAGATGTCTGGTCTAATTAGCATATTACCCTTTTATTAGTATAGATAACTCCTACTTACTGAGTGCCTACTGAGTGCCAAGTAAAATTCTGGATATCACCTCTATTATCTCATAATCTTCTCAAGGTAATACTGTGAGGTAGAAAGGTATCTTAGTCCTAGTGAGGAAACTGAGGCCAAAGAGGCTACGGGACATTCCCAATAAGCCCCAACTAGTAACTGGCATTGCTGAGCTCTGAACCCAGGCCGACCCGTCTGATTCCACTGGATCCAAGTGAGCTTTTAAAAATATCCATTGATCCTATCTTTCCCTACTTAAAACATAAACCCTAAAATTGATTTCAATGGCCTCTCCTTCATACACAGGATAACACCCTAACCCCTTCCCCCAGCCTGCTGGGCCCTGTGTGAGCAGCCCCAGCCTACCTTGCCGAGCTCCTCTGCCTCCACTCTCTCCTGCTCGCCACTCCAGCCACACCACCCCCACTCTGTACCTGAACACGGCATATGCTCTCCTCTGCTTGGAGGTTCTGCCTCCCCACCTGCCCAGCTGACTGCTGTGCATCCTTCCCATCACACGTAGATCACACACCACCTTCTCTCTGGTCTTCTTGCTCTCAAGTCTTGCTTTTTAATATCTCTTGGGCCCACTAATCTACAAGGATGGCAGGATCTTTGTTTTTTACTGGTATATCCTGGTGCTTAGAAAGTAATAGCTACTCCCTACATGATGGAAGGAAGGGAGGAAGGAAGGAAGGAAGGAAGGAAGGAAGGAAGGAAGGAAGGCCAGGCCGCCTGGGAAGAAAGAGGGAAGAATGAGGGTACAGAGCCCATTTCCACTTTGGCATGGGTGGCACCCACCTCGAGCCATATCCAGTTCAGTGCATCTCCGGTCGGGGTTGGTATGGATGCGGCACTTAAACACAGCCCCCGGGGACTTCACTGACGTGCTGTACTTGGACTCGGCCTTTGGTGCGCCCACAAGGATCCTGCACATCGAGAAGAAAGGGCATTCTGTCACAACCCAGGACCAGGAAAGAAGAGGCTGATGGTTAAATTAATATCCAGTCACAGGCGGGCGGTCTGAATTGTTGACTGGAAAACCATACCTAGCATTGTACTGTGCTGGCGGGGCCAGGAGGGAGGGCCTCCCACAGAGAACCTGGTGGATTGTCTCCAGGCACATTTAGAGCATAAGTTTGGTTGGAAACACATATAACCAACAAACAATGGCTATCCAGAATCTATTAAGAACTCGTACAAGTTGAGAAGGAAAATACAGGTATCCAATACCATATTAGGCCAAAGACTTGAATAGATACTTGATGAAAGACCATAACCAACTGGCCAATAAACACATTAAAAGGTGCTCAACTATATTTGTTATCAGAGATATAACGAATGAGCTACCACTTCACACCTATGAGGAGGCTAAAACCGAAAATGCCAAGTGCTGACAAGGAGCTGGAGCAACGGAAACCCTCCTACACTGCTGGTGGGAGTGTAAATCATCACAGCCACGTCGGAGAAAAATTCAACAGTTTCTAATAACGCCAAACATGTGCCTAGCCTAGGACCCAGTCATACCATGTCTAGGAACATGCCCAACGGAAATGCAGGCACATGCCTACCAGGAGACAGGTCAAACGTGTTCACGGCTCAATATGTAATGGCCAAAATTGAAGAAACCCGCAGGTCCATCAATGCTAGAATGGATAAGTTATGGTAGAGAAGTACAACAGAATTCTACACAGCCACGAAAATCAGTGAACATCATTCAACTGCAGCCACACAGATAAATCTTATATAACATGGAACAAAATGTGTCAGGGACTGCAGTGTACTCACTGACTCTGTTCACCTGAAGTTCAAAGTAGCTGAAGTATAACTGTGGTGTTAGAGATCAGGATAATGGCTACCTTGGGGGAGGAATGAGGCAGCCACACTAAGACTAGTGAGGGAGGCGGGGCTTGCTGTGTGCTCATGACGTTCTACTTTGCAACCTGAGCAGTGTTCACGCAAATTTACGATCATTCATTAGATTGTATATATGATATGGTCGCTCTCCCAGATGTATTAGACTTAAAAAATAATGACATGAATAAATAAGATACGTAGCTATACCACTTCTCTTCTGCGTTCCCCTCTCCCTCCCCACCACACACAACAGGCACATTTACAGGGACATAGGGAAGGCGTCGGCATAACGTAGAATTACACATGCATCCAACTCAAACCAGAGATGGTGTCATCTCTGGGCAAGAATGAAGCTGTATGTCCTTCATCTTGAACCGAAAGCTGCCTTGGGAAGGGGCCGACCCCCACAGAGCCCGTCCCTGCTGGAGGAAAAGGCAAGACATGCCAAGAAAACAGAAAAGACACATTTGGGCCTGTGTGGGCACAGGACACGGGGGAACAGCAGCCAGTTCCCCTCCAGATGTTACGAAAACAATTATGACCTACAGTTTTATGCATTGTTTCCGGAAAGTGGTCAGCCAAAGAGCTAGGGCAAAGAATACCAAACGGCAGCAATCAGGTACAGCCTGTGCTGAGCTACGAGCCACTTGGAAAAGAACTTGTACGATGAGACAGTAAACAAAACCCACGCTGATGTTCAAGGAGTAGACAGCGCTAAGCTGTTCCTCGAGGCGAACTCGAGCTGCTCAGTATCTCTGGCAGCCTGGAAAGGGGGTGCAATTTCCCCCCGGAAGGTATTGGGCACATTGTGAAATTGATCATCTCCGCTTACCGGGGAACAGAAAGTATTATCCATTAGGTCATCTGTGGAAAAGGCTAGTCGAGTAGAGGGAAGAATGACCCCAGACAGCCTCCCTATGGACCCAGGTCCCCTCACTGCGTCCGGAAAGCCACCTTCATCTTGAGGTGTCGGACACTCACGCTTCACCCCCACCCTGGCCTCAAATGGTGCTGCTCCCCCCACCGACACCCCAGAAGAGCAATAGAAGTCGGAGACCCTCAGACGGGCCTTCAGCAAGGCCGGCAGACATCACCAAGGACAGCCACACTAAGACTCAGACCCATGCTGTCAGGTTCATGGGAAGGCATGTGGGTCTCATCTTCATTGCCCCTGCCCCAACCCCTCAACATCCAGGGGTGAAGGACCTCTGGGGATGCAAGGAGCCAGGGAGACCACCCCCCGCCGCCCAGAGCACTTCCTTCATGATCAGCCCAGGACAGACTGTATTCGATTCTGTGAGGAATCAAGTCACACCCTGCTGGGGTGTGACGGGAGCCAGGCCCCCAACAGTAAGGGCACCCCAGCTGCCCCCCGGGGCCTTCCATAACACCCCGGGGAGCTGCCCCTCCCGCTCACCAGGGCGGGCCGGCTGGAACCCACAGCCCTCGGAAATCACAGCAGGCATTTTCCCAAACAGACCACCCGCCTCTGTCACCGCGCACGGGCCATCTGGCCGGCTTTCTGCTGCTCTAACGCAAACGCACGATGACACACCAAATGCAACTCCAGGGAGAAGGTGGCCACGTATAGAGATCAAGTCCCACCCCAACCCCCCTACCCGGCTTCTGGGGCTGAGCTTAGAGCCACCAGCGCGAGGCCAGGGCTGCTCTCCATTAGGCCGGTCATGTTTTCACAGGTGAGAAGAATTAGCGGGTGGGCCCATCCAAGCAGCTGAAACACCCACGCCTTTCCACGCGTCGGCCCGTCGGAGCTGGGCAACATACCACGCCTCCTCCACTCGAAAACCCCGGGGGGACAGGGCTGGGCCTAAAAATTCCGACCAACGCCAAGTGTACATTAGCCCCGCCAACAAACGCCACTTGCGATTCATTTGGTAAAAATGACAAAAATTAAACACGGGGCGGGCTGCTTCTCGAGCGCATGCCCCCAAATGGCATTGGAACCCTGCACATTTCAGAGGTGCCTCTGCTCCAAATGTGCAGACCGAACGAGACCCGCAGGTCACCGGAGCAGGAAGGGACGGACCCTGGGGAGCTCGATCCCAGGCACTGCTGCTCTCAGCCTGGATCGGAGGCTGAGAGGGGCAACATTTCTATGGAACTCCAAAGGGGAGAAAGGACCGGCCGAATTATTTTTTCCTTCCAATCCAGTGGTTCTCAACCTTCTGGCCCTTTAAATACAGTTCCTCATGTTGTGACCCAGCCATAACATTATTTTCGTTGCTACTTCATCACTGTAATGTTGCTACTGTTGTGAATCATCATGTAAATATCTGATATGCAGGATGGTCTCAAGCAAAAGTCAGAATCAGCCTAATGATTTATTCATGGGTGGGGGACACTCAGGCCCTTTTGTATGGTAACCGTACAAAGGAAAGAAACGGCTTATTGTCTTGTCAGGAGTCACCAGGAGGATTCGGGGGGGGATGCTGGAGATATCTGGGATGTCTCTTTGTAACGAATGTCCCTTTCTCCCCTGGGAAAGGGTCGTTCGACCGCCAAAGGGGTCGCGACCCACAGGTTGAGAACCGCTGTTCTAATCCCAAGGTACTTGGTGGTTCTAACAATAGCTGATCAAGAGCACTGAGCCCGATGTGGCTCAGTGGTCGAGCACTGACCTATGAACCAGGAGGTCACTGTTGGATTCCTACTCAGGGAACATGCCAGGGTTGCGGGCTCAATCTCCAGTAGGGGGCATGCGGAAGGCAGCCCTTCAATGATTCCCTCTCATCTTGACGTTTCTATCTCTCTCCCCCTTACCCTTCCTCTCTGCAATCAATACAAAATTTATTTAAAAATAAATAAAATTAAATGTGTGTGTGTGTGGGGGGGGGGGTTAAAGCACTGATAAAAACCCTCTGGTTCAAACCCTTAATCTGCTGGTCAGATGAGAACATTTTTCCCAAATCCCGTGTCATGGAAAATGAAGCAAGAGATCAGGAGCGTGTGCACGCACACGTGTGCGCCCAGCTCACGGGGTGGCACGGTGGAGCACGAGCTTGTATCTCCGTGTTTACAGAACATCGTGGCTTCCTCCGCCTGGCGCTGCTCTTTACCTAGGCCGCCGGCCAGCAAGGCTGCGGCGGCAGGCCAGCCGATGAGCTTGTCTTTTCTGAAGTTAGTTCAGCTGGCTACTGGCCAGGCCGATCCCAAGAGATAGAGCGAGCGCAATGGCCCAGGGTTCAGGACAAGCCACTGAGAAGATGCCATCTGCTTTTTCTCATTATTCTACGTTACAAAGAGACATCCCAGATATCTCCAGCATCCCCCCGAATCCTCCTTGTGACTCCTGACAAGACAATAAAACGTTTCTTTCCTTTGTACGGTTACCATACAAAAGGGCCTGAGTGTCCCCCACCCATGAATAAATCATTAGGCTGATTCTGACCTTTGCTCGAGACTCCCAGTGTGGTCCCCCGACCAGCAGCACGGAGAACATCTAGGAGCTTGATGGAAATGCAGACTCTCGGGCCGGGGCCCAGGCCCGCTTCATCGGAACGCGCATTCGAACAGGCTCTCCCTGTGATTTCCAGCCTGAGAAGTACTATGTCACCCCCACCCCGATGACAAATAATCCTGTCCATTTGGAGCCGGTATGAACAGGTGACCCTTGAGAAGAGAGGCTTTCCTCCTATGCAATCCCCCGTTAAAGATGCACTCCAACCTCAAAGGCATTTAGGTCCTCTCGTTAACTCAGACGTCTACACCTCTAATTACGAGGACAACCGGCATGTGTCGGGCACGTGCAGTGCGCAGGTGCTGGGCGAGGCTCCTGATGGCAGAATCGCACTGAAGCTTCACAGCGACCCTATGGGAAGCACTCATATTCTCCCCCTTGTACAGATGGAGAAGCAGGTGGCCAGAGGCGGTCCTGGGACTTGCCCAAGCCCACCAAGTGTGGTAAGATGCCAGGCTGTAACACGTGCCCTAGCAGTGCCCGCTGCCCGATTCTGCCCATCCCACATCAGCCAGGAGGAGGAAAGGGGAACCAACAGGTGCCAAGTGCCCCCTGCGGTGCCCGCTGGTCACCCCGGTGACCTGCCTGAAAAAG